ATGAACAACTTAACAATATCTTGATCTGTGAACCAGGGCAGTAAAACCACTCTGCTCTTCTGAAGGGTGTGAGCAGTTAGACTCTGACCCTGGAAACATCTTCCTTGTTCCGATGTGTGTTATCTCGTGGAAGGGGTTCAAGAATTCACACTGATCCGTTCTGAATCTTTAGGGTCCTGGGCTGCGGGGACACTGTTGTCGGGCTCCTGTCGATGACCCACCCTGACTTCTCCTACCTGATCAGAGCAGCTCGTTGTTGGAGCTCTCCTACTTCACTGGGATGTGAAATCAATATCTTCTGCGATCTCAGCCTCTTGACCACTTTCCTTTACAACAAGAGAGAGAGACAGATCCTGACCTCCATTCTGGCTCTGCTGCTAATTGGTTAGGCTCTCATTTCAGTTTCACGTTGGAAAATATTTACGTTTTGAAAATGTTATTTCCTCTCTTGAGAGAAACTGCACGTGATTTCACTCATGTACCACCGTCATTAATGATGCTAAAAACTTTTAATCAATATCCAACCTTTATATGTGAGGAAGAATTTTAGCATTTACCTTTTTTAAAGTGTATAAGATAGTGACCAGTTGGCTTTGAAAAATGCTTTTTACCCAGCAACAGTATAAAAGGATAATTCAAGCATATTGTTTGACCTTTTGACATTAAGATTACAAACTGCAGCGTCTAGCTCATTTCACACCTTTTATTTTTATACCTCCTTTTGTCTGTATGCAAGGTAGAACTGCTTCTTAAGAAGAACGTGGTCAATTACAAAGAAATGTTTGTAGAGAGAAAAACAACTCCTAATATGGACTTAGAATGAGCTTAGTGAACTTAGTGAATTTGCTGTATAAAACTCATTGCATTTATCATCTCGGTGGAGACGTTACTCACAGATCTGTATGAGAGGATGCTCTCAGGCCTGCATGATTATACCCTCCCCATGCACATGTATAAAGGGACTCTGCTTGACCACACCTAACGTGAGTGAAGACTTTTCGTCGATATATGTTATATTTCTTAAAACGCGTGTGAGGTGGTTTCTTTCTGATGCTCAGTGTATTATGTTACCAAAGCATTGCAGTGCTTGCTATTATAAAGAAAGCTACATTTTAAACAATACATATCTTAAAGATCAAATCACATATCACATAACAGAGTACATACTGTACTATCCCTTCATTTTCAGTCAGACAGCTACTAGTATAAAGTTAATGTCTCACCTGTTTCTCAGTCCTTCCTGCTGCAGCTGAGACAGTATCATGGCCTCTGTGTTCATCCATCGTGCACAACATGCAGATACACCTCTGATCAGTATGGCAATAGACCTCCAGGGGTTTGTCATGACTGGAGCAGATCTTCTCCTGCAGCTGTCCTGTGGCCTCGACCAGCTGGTGTCTCTTCAGTGGAGCAGCTTCACAGTGAGGCTGGAGGTGAGTCTGACAGTAAGAGGCCAGACACACCAGACAGGACTTCACAGCTCTCACCTGGCTCCCAGTGCAGACGTCACACAGCACATCTCCAGGGCCAGCAGTGCTCTCGCTGGGATAAGGGCGTTTCATCCCACTTCTTAGTTTATCTACTGCTGCAGCCAGAACTGTATTTCTGTGCAGAATAGGCCTTTTGGGGAAATCCTTTCTGCACTGGGGGCATTTGTAGACACAATCGGGATTATCCCGGTCCCAGCAGCTCTTAATACATCCCATGCAAAAATGGTGTCCACAGGGAAGAGTCACTGGATCCTTCAGAGTCTCCAGACACACTGTGCAGGCGAGACAGGTCTGCGCTGTGGAGGTGCTGGGCTCTGCCATTGTACCGCTTGGTACCAATCGGTAAGGGAAGGCAGGGAGCCGAGAGGATCGCGTGAGGCTGTTCCAGTTCAAACTCCTCTCTGCCTGACTTCCTGGTGCTGCCCGGAGCTGCAGGAGGTGGGGTTTGGCTGCAGTACAGGCTGACGGAGAGAGGAGACAGGGAGATGTTTTTGTGAGAAAAGTTATTTGGCACTAGGGCGTCACCCCAGCAGTCTGAGATCTCCGTAGTTTAAAGGAACATTGTTGTTGACAAAGTGTGTGGGCCAACGGCACTGCAGAGGAAGTGTTGAGCAGAGAAGGTTGGGGCAAAATTAAAAATGAGTTTTTTTGCATGTTCCTTCTCTGCTGGTCCCTCACGTTACCGATTTTCCTCTGCCTCACCCCCCAGGTTAGCACAACTGTCCAACCTCTGTTCT